GCTTAAGGTCTTTGAGGTAAACACTAATTCCATCCTCCTGCTCTTCCCAGAGGACAACTCTGTTGGGGTAATCACTTGTCATACAGTCATGTGCTCAGAAAAGGGGGCCACTGCCACTCCCAAAATGAAAGAACCATGGCTGGTCAAAGCCAACCTCAGCCATGTCACTGCCATTGCTCAGGCACAGACATGTGACCAATCCTAGCCAACGGGATCTGGAGATAATTTCCTGGGGAATTAACAGTAAATACTTTCCTCCATAAAAACAAGAAAGAAGAAAAAGAAACACATAGGAAGAAACACTGCTCTTCTTCTTCATGAGATACTGTAATATCTGCATACGACGCATGAAACTTCTATAGCCACCAGACAACCATAACAGAAAGGCTAAGCAGAAAGATAGCAGTCCTCAGTGACGTCATGAACCTGTGATTCTGGACTTCCTGTTACACACAATAGTAAATATCCTTAAGTTAGTTTTTGCTGTACTTTGAATTTCTTTCAATCTAGAGGATCCCAGCTGATACAATCTTTCAGAAAGTTTGTGGCAAGGCTAGGATTAGAAAAGGAACTCATCACTTCCAGGCCAATGAAGGCCTCTATTTAAGGGACTGATGAAGTCCGTGAGCAGGTTTACCAGTCTAGGTAATGCCACGGTAAGAAACAACCCGCATATCTCAGGGCTTTACAACAACAAGGTTCTATTTCTTGCTTGTGTAACATGTCCATCAGTATTGGCTGAAGCTCTGCTCCAGGAACCCAGCCCAATGAGTAAACTCTTTTCTGAAATATTACTGACTTTGTGACAAAGCAAGAAACAAAGCATGCCAAACCATGAACTGGCTCTTAAAAGTTCCGTTCAGAAATTTCACATATCACATTCTTTTTTTTTTTTTTTAAGATTTTATTTATTTATTTGAGAGAGAGAGAAAAAACGAGCAGGAGGGAGGGGGTGAGGGAGAGGGAGAAGCAGGCTCTCTTCTGAGCAGGGAGCCCAATGTGGCACTCTATCCTAGGACACCAAGATCATGACCTGAGCTAAAGGCAGAAGCTTAACCAACTGAGCCACCAGGTGCCCTACACATATGACTTTCACTCACATGTCATTAATCAGAGCAAGTCACATAGTCTAGCTTGATATCAATGAGGAAGTGAAAAAGAACAATTCCTTCAGGCAAACACCACATTTAGTCATATTTAATGCTTCTAAGAAATAGCTAAGCACCCCGGGGGCAACTAAAATGGTTACTGAATTATTTTGGTAACATTTCTAAACTTCAGGATATTTTGGCAAACACAACTGCTATGCCTTCTTTTTATAATAAACTCTTCTTAAAATATCTTTAATTTTAGAATGATTATATGTCCATTAAAATTTTTTCCATACTGTACTATATACTTGACTATTGCTAAGAGACTAGATCTTAAATGTTCTGACCACAAAACAGAAATGGGAATTTTTGTGATAGGATGGAGGTATTAGCTAATGCTATGGTGGCTATCATTTTGCAAAATATGAGTGTATCAAATCACTATATACCTTAAGCTTATACAATGTTAGATGTCAATTGTATCTCAATAAAGCTGGGATAAAAAGAGAATAAAAAAAGTCCAAATCAGGGGGCACCTGGGTGGCTCAGCGGGTTAAAGCCTCTGCCTTCAGCTCAGGTCATGATTTCAGGGTCCTGGGGTTGAGCCCCGCATCGGGCTCTCTGCTCAGCAGGGAGCCTGCTTCCCCTCCTCTCTCTGCCTGGCCTCTCTGCCTACTTGTGATCTCTGTCTGTCAAATAAATAAATAAAATCTTAAAAAAAAAAAAGTCCAAATCAGTAAAAGATTAAAAAAATAAAATGTTTTGCTTTCCTAATCCTACCCGTCATAGATAAATCACTAATAATTTGGTGTATGTCCTCTAGTCCTTTTCTATGTATGTTCACATGTCTGTATACATATGCACATCTGTACATATATTTGTGGCTTATTGCAAAAAATACCATTTTAGAGGTGCCTGGGTGGTTCAGTTATTAAGTGTCTGCCTTTGGCTCAGGTCATGTTCCCAGGGTCCTGGGATCAAGCCCCATGTCGGGCTCCCAGGGAAGCCTGCTTCTCCCTCTCCCACTACACTTGCTTGTGTTCCCTCTCTCACTGTGTCTTTCTCCGTCAAATAAATAAATAAAATCTTTTTTAAAAAGTACTATCCTATACAATTATACATAATATCATGAATGCTTTTGCTTGTCAACATACAGCTTATTATTTTTTTTCTTTTTTTAAGATTTTATTTATTTATTAGAAAGAGAGAGACAGAGAGAAAGAGCATGAGCAGAGGGGAGAGGCAGAGAGAGAAGCAGACTCCCCACTGAGCAGGGAGCCCAATGTGGGGCTCTATCCCAGGACCCCAAGATCATGACCTGAGAGCTGAAGGCAGACAACTGACTGAGCCACCCAGGGATCCTGGCTAATTACTTTTCTTTTTTAAAGATTGCATAGTATTTCACTGTGTGTCTGCACCATAATTTATATCACAATTTCTTTCAGGATGGACATTTAGGTTGTTCTCATGCTCATTATCACAAACAATTCTGTACTGATCACTCTTTTACATATAGACATAGATATTTGCATACTCTTATGAGAATTTCTGTAGAATAAATTCCAAAAAGGAGAATTGCTGGAAGAGAAGGCATACACATTCAACAATTTGAGAGATATTGCAAAATGGTCCTCCAAATAAGATTATATCAATTGTGTCTTTTAACTGGTAGGCTTATTGAATCCAGGCAATAGTGTATTAGACAGTGATCCTTTTAGACAAAAAACATGTGCTGACAAAAAATATGTTAATACTGACTGCATATAAATATAAATATTCTGGACATATTTATAGTGGCCCCCTCTCTTCAGGGAGCTTAAATCTAGTAAGGGAGAAAACAAACACATATGAAAATACTAAAAATACATAAATACTTAGTATAAGAAATTGAATCAGGCACATGTGGAAACAGCTGCAAGAAAGCAGATGTGATAAGAGAATGTTCAATGAAGTGAAGGGTGTCAGTGTAGGGATAGGAAAGTCTTTCAGAAAAGAAACAATGTCATTAATTACAATTGATAGAAGGGGGAGCTGAGCCTTGGCAGGGTGGCTATTGGAGATGGGGTTGATGGTAGCACTGGGAAGGGAAGAGGTAGCTTGCCTGGGTAAATGAGCTTACAGGGTTTGCATGCTGGGCGAATTGCATTAGGGCCAGAGTCTCTTCTTCAGGCCAAGATTTTACATAACTAGGTCTATCTTGGGTCATTGTCTGTAGACTTTCTTAACAACAAGGGATTGGTCTGAATAGCCAGTCTAAAGAAGTGAGACTAGAAGAGGTCTGCCCTCTTGCTTAGAATCTCTAAGCTATAAACCACCACTACAGCTCAGCCAATTGATCCCATGGAGAAAAAAGTAAATCATTCAACAGGATATATCCAAAATCCCCCAAACGATATGGATTCTTAGGCCCCTATTGAATACCTTAACCTTTAGCTTTCACAGCAAATAGCCTAATGGGGGTATCATTAGCCCCTTTGGGAGCCTGGTTTCATGGGAAAGACCATAACCAAGTTCAAGCATTAGGGAGCAGGATACAAATGCATGAAGCAAATGCTGCCACATCCCCGCTTCTAGCCTAAGACATCTCTGATTACAACAATTAGACCTAGAAAAGCCTCAGAATCCTCAACACAGCCTTCCAAGGAAGTACTACCAATCAAATGAAACGGGCACTGGCACTGAAGCCCATTTGTCATCCCTGATTTATAGCAACAGATTAATCATTTCCTCACCAGGCATTCTTTCCCACCTATTACTTCACCAACCATAAACTTTCTCAGAAGAAGCCATAGGCATTAGGACCTCATACAGACCTAAACAGCCCACACTGGGAAGGGGGGAAGTCACCCCTACCCACTATGGCATCCACTCCTCCAAGCCCCCACATTCTTATAAAAGAGTATCCCTCAAAGATGTTAGCTCTTCATCTGTTTTTGCCTCTATCTAGAGGTGGTTACTTCCATTCATTCTTTCAACCAATATTTATGAGGGCCTACTATGTGCCAAGTCATGTTCTACAGACTGAGGCTACAGCAGTGAGCAACGCAGACAAACCCCTGTGCCCATAGAGCTTACTTGGAAGAGAAAGACACAAACAAGATGCAGGTAAGCGCCTAGCAGGCTAACTGACACTAAATGCTAAGGAGACCCCAAAACTGCAAGAAAGTGGAATAGGCAGCATTGATTGGCAGGCAGCAGATGGAAATTTTAAAAAGAGAAAATTTCCCCAGTTGATGAAATGCGACTACAGACCTAAAGAAGGAGAAGGAGCATGCCATTCAGACTGAGAGGAACAGATCAGGAACAATGAAGAGGTAGATCTCAATGGACAAACTGGGGAGTATTGGGGGGGGGCAGAACGAAGAAAGAGGGTAAGTCTGGGGGTTGGGGGTTATAGATCATAAAGTGTCTCATAGTGGGGGGTCAAAAGAAAGTCTCTGATATAGATGGTCTCTGCCTTCACCAAGTTTCTATTTATCACGGAAGACAAAGAGTAAGTACATCATTATAAGTAATTCACTCTAAGTGTAACAAATACAGCACATTTATAAAGATGGGGGGGCTGCAAGGTGCCACGGAAGATATAACAGGACAGCCTGATAGCACTGGTGGTCATAGACAATTTCCTGAAAGAAGGATTTCTGAACTAAGCCCTGAAGGATAAGGAGGAGTTTGCCCAGCAAAAAAAGGAAAAGAATGTGCCAAGCAGAGGGAACAGAGTGTGTTCAATCAGACTGGAGGTAGAAGAGAGCACAGAGCACAAGAGAGCAGATGGGTGCGATATCATCCGAAGAAGCCCACAGGAACTAGAACCCTCAGGGCTCTGAAATGCTTATTAAGGGTCTTTGACTTTTAAGCACAAGAGGAAGCTTTAGAAAGGTTTTAAGCATAAAAGCAGATCAGTCTTACCTTTTTTGTAAAAAGATCTCTCTGATTATTATGTCACTCTCCATGCTAAACTCTTAGACCTATGAGATGACACAATAAAGCAAAATTGTTTTAAAAATTGCTCTTACTTCTTTTCTAATTAGCATCTTGAAGCCCACTTTTCATCTCTGACCTCCCTTCCTGATCAGTGGAGCTGACCAGTGGTCAGTGGAGCTGCTGTTCTCCCATTCATTCTGGTAAAATAAAGCCTTGGCCATTCCTCACCTGTCCTGAGACAGGTAAGTCCCCACAGATTTTTCCTAAAGCAAGGCAGGACATAGATGTATGAGAATACTTCTCTGAGAATAAGGAGAAGAAAAATGTGGTTTACTCTATTTGATCCAGGCTTTTTCCATACAGAAACTCAACAGATCAAAACCATTCCAAAACTGGGATGAAACCATATGGTTTCCAGAATCACACATTGTTTTTACAAGGTTCAATGGTTGAGACTGCCTTTCTCTATCGGTGGAAATGAACCAGACTTTTCCCATTTGCTTCTCACGGTCATTGCATGGAGGTTAATTCATTTGTTACCCACGTAGACAACATGTAAGGTGCCACAAGTGATCTGGAACATACAAAGCATCAAAGACGACATTCCTTCCTTCTGCCTGAAGTAATCTTGGGTCCTGTGTTTCTGAAAAAGCAGTGAATTTGTGCATCTCCAAGCAGCAGGAAAATGTTATTTCTTTTATCGTGTTCTTTGTATTCTACAGTTCTTGGTATATTCCATACTCTAAATTAGGCATCAAAAGTATTTCTGATTAAAAATTTATACAGCTCATGACAGCCTCTTTCTAGAACATAAACCCTAACTAATTCATGTTCATTTACCCTGCAGTTTTCTATTTATAATATTTTAGAATTTCTGTGCATTTGTATTATAAATTATTAAATGATATCAAGGTTCTTATTTTGATGAGAGAATTTTTGATGAATTTGACAGTGTAATTACTTCAGATACTGCTCTGGATTGCTGGGAAAATATTTAATTTTATTTACCACGATGAATAATTAAAGCACGCAAGTGGTGGGCTCTCTTGCTGTGCCTTCTAGCTCCTTACTTCTGTTTGCTTCTCGTTAATTAAAATAGTGATGCTTATATGTGTAGTGGCTTAAAAGAAATGAATTACCAATTTGGGGTGGGGGTGGGGTGAGGAAGAAGCAGGCATGTGATAAGACTTGAGAAACCTGTATCAAAGTAGAGAGGAAGGAGGGAGATGATGAAAACTTGGCTGTGCTTTGTTTCATGTTTTTCTTGCAAGAGCAGAGAGAGTGAAGAGTAGTCTCCTTGTTTATTTGGTGAACTACCCTCCCAGTTCTAGAAACTTTTCATGTGCCAGCTTCTCAACCAAAACAACAGAAATGGTAATGGCAAGAAAGGCTGGGAAGAGCACCACAACTTCATCTATAAAGCCCAGGAGATTCCTGATTATCATAGGGGTTACCATTTTGGGTTCATTGATTACATTATTATGATTTTCATTTGGTTATCAGAAAACCCTGCTAAGGTACACACAAGGTCAACCTTAACATTTCTACTTGAGGATGAGAAAGTTGAGGTTCAGTTTGATGAACAGCCTAGTCCCACATCACTCAGAAGTACAAAGTCCCAGGTTTGATGACTCTTTATCCACAGGGATTAAGAGATCAAGGAATGAAGTTTTTCTTACCACCTGATCTTAAGTAATGCAAAATAATTGTTAAAAGTGAGACAACATGGGGCACTTGGGTGACTCAATCAGTTAAGCATCTGACTCTTGATTTTGGCGTAAGTCATGCCTGATTGCAGGATTGTGAGATGGAGCCCTGGGTCAGGCTCTGCTCTGGGTGTTACATACAGTGCTTGAGATTCTCTCTCTTCCTCTCCCTCTACCCCTGCCTGCTCATACTCTCCCTAAAAAATAATATAATAATAAGAATAATAGACAAGAAAACATGTCCAAAATGGAGTCACTTATGCTAAGCCCCATCTCACCAAACCAAGATTTAATTAAAGTTTCAGCTCTCCCAGAGATGGAACCTTAAAACAGTCAATCAGGAATTGCCCAATCAGCACTAGCTAGGTAATCTGCCTTCCCCTAAAGGAAAGTTACTTTGCAATAACCAATCTGGTTTTTTGCCCAATACAACGTCCTTGTTCCTGCTCCCTTTTGCCTATAAAAGTCTTTCATTTTGTACAGCTCCTCAGAGTCCCTGTCTACCTTCTAGAGTGGATGCTGCCTGATTTAGAATTGTTGAAAAAACCAATAAGATCTTCAAAATTCACTCCGTTAAATTTTGTTTTGTAACATAATAGACATATTATTAGACATTTGGTATATTTTCCCAAAAGAGAATTTACATGTATATATGTACATGTATATGTATGTGTGGGTATGAATTTCAAGTGCTAAAACACTTGCAACATCAGTGGAAATAGTTCTAAAGTGTAGATCAATACAAGTCACTGCTCTACTCTAGATCTCAGTTTCCACATCCAAAAATGGGGACAATATTGAGGAGAAGACAAGATGGGGCAGAAGTAGGAGGAGGCGCCGTTTCAACCCGTCCCCTAAAGTGAGCTGATTACCTACCAACAAACTCTGATCACCCATGAAATCAGCTTGAGATTAGAATTATACACTTCTGGATCTCTATGGGGGCAGAAGACGTCAGTGGGCAGAAGCGTTCCAGAGTGCACCTTGCCTGCACCACAGTCGATACATTCAGCTACACATCCGTTCAGCCATCTCTCACCAAAATGACTAGGAGGAGGAATGTCCAACAGAAGAAAAATTCAAAAAAAAAAAAAAAGAAGAAGAAGAAGAAGAAAAATTCAGAGACTGGGCCTTCTGCATCAGAGCTATTGGGTATGGACATAGACAGTATGTCGGAAAGGGAATTCAGGCTGACAATTATCCAGGCAATAGCTAGGTTGGAGAAAGCCATGGATGACAAAATGGAATTGATTAGGGCAGAAGTGAAAGCCAGCAGGGATGATGTTCACAACGTTCTCAATGAGTTCCAATCTTATCTAAATTCTCTAAAAGCTAGGGTAACTGAGGTAGAAGATAGAATTAGTGATCTGAAGGACAAACAGATAGAGAAAAAGGGTCAGGAGGAAGCCTGGAACAAACAGCTTAGAAGCCACGAAAACAGAATTAGGGAAATAAATGACGCCATGAAACGTTCCAACGTCAGAATTATTGGAATCCCTGAGGGGGAGGACCAAAATGGGGACAATATTGGTATCTACCTCTTAGAGTTATAGGCATTTCATGAGACAATGCAGAAAAAGGACTCAGTAAGCCCTAGCTATTTCTATTTTTCCATGGCATATAGAGTTAAATATGGTACTGGGGGCACCAACCACATCTTGCCCATCTTTGTATCCCAGCCTCCAACACAGAGCAGGTTATTCAATAAATGAGTTGGATGGATGACTGAGTGGCTTCCGGCTATTCCATAGCCAGACTGAAAGCTCCTAATTACATCCTAAGGTCCTTGAAGGCAGGACGTTACCTTGTTCTTTCCCCCAACTCAGGATACTGCTTGAACATAGATGATGCTTACAAATGCCTGCTGAGTTTGACTGGGATGGAATACTCAGTATCATCCACACAGAGCTGAGAAGGGTTTGGCAGTCGTTTTTCCCAGGAGTGTTGCCTGAGCCTGGGGCTGTAAAAATCCTGGAAGTGTGGAGGCCACCTTAGTAAAGAACAAGGCATTGTTTGGGGCCAGAACCCCTAGTGAGTGAGGTCTTTTCCAATCAAAGGCCCAGTCACTGGCGTGTGTTCCACAAGCCCCTGGGGACCGGCTCTCATTGTGTGGCAGGGCCACTGGGGGCAGGGACGCCCACCCCTCCCCAGACTGTATCGATTAGCTGCTCCATCTGCCACTCTGCAAACAAGCTGCACGATCCCCCATTGGATGAAAATGTCACCCATGGTAACAGATCCTCACAGCTGGCATCTGACCACAGGACCCTCAGGGAGGGAATAATCAGATCCTGAAAAGCAGTCAGCCCACACCAAGCTAAATGCAAAATGAAAAATAAATAAATGTCTATATTAATCTCCTCCCTCCCTTCTCAGCCCCAAGCACCAGACATTATTCTCAAGTTGCACTGCCACAGCAGGGGACCGGTGGCCCTCAAGGCAGGTTGCTTGAGGGTCCCATGTATAGTCTATGGGAATTATAACTCAGAGACCTCCCCTGGCGGTTCCGGAGCTATGGAGAATGCAAAGAAATCCTGCTTCAGCCACTCCAGTTTGTTTTACTCGGATCTTTCTCCTTGGAGACCTCCCTCTCTTAGTCTCTCTCCCAGCTTCCATCCCTGTCCATATCCCTGTCCTTCTCTCTCCCTCTGCCTTCCCACCCCCCACTTCTCCTCTCTTGGCTCTCTTTTTCTCCCTCACACCCAGCATTTCCCTCTTCTTCCTGTTCCCCCTCTCCTCCTAATTTTGTTCTTTCTGCACAGGACATCCTTCCTCATCCTCTTTCCTGGATTACTTCTCCTCCTCTTTCAGACCTCAGTTTAATTACCATTTCCTCTGGGGTTTCTGACAGGAACATTGCCTCCAAACTGTGTAAGTACCCCCTGATACTGTGCCCCTCCCACCCTTCCCCTCTTACTCTTTGGCTATCTGTTTGGCCAGGAGAGAAATAACCTTGTCTGCTAAGCAATTATATCCCCGGCACCTAGCACAGTGCTTGGCACATAAAAGATGCTTAATAACTATTTATGACAAGACTAAACAAACAATGCCAGGTACAAAGTAATTCTTAAAGGGCTTCCGGATTTTTTCAGACTCTGAAGATGGGCATGCCATGAGACTGTTTGTCAGTTTCCAGTTACTGAACTAGCTTAAGTCGAAAATAAAGAAATCTGTCAGAAGGGCTTACAAAGGTAAAGGAGCTCTTGATATTTTGGGGGTGCAGTCTTCTTCATAGTCAGGGGCTATGCTGTGCATTGTAGCTCTACCCAGTAGCAACACTGGATCCCAATAGCACCCTCTAACCCCCAGTTGTGACAACCAGAAATGTCTCATCTCAT